TTTTCTTCTTGTATTTTCTTTTCTTCTTCTTCTTCTTCTTCTGCTTCTTCGGCTCGTCTGGGCTCGTCGTGATGGAGTTTGTGCCTGCAGTGAGTCTTCCAGCCTCTTTTTTTCGCTACACCCTCCATTCTACACCCTACAACATCCACATCCAATATCTACAGCATCTACAACATCTACAACATCTACAACATCTACAACATCCCATATCTACACCCCGTCTGCCTCTTCTCCCTGCTAACTGCTGCAGCTGTGTGCGGCGGGCACAATTGGCATCGCTCCCGCTGGCCTCGCCCTGGGCCGCCCCGACGCCAGCACCGCCAACAGACGCCCCTCGACGCTGGCGTACCAGCGAGCCTCCTTCTTCGCCGGCCAGCCTGCTGAGCTCCCGCTGCCTTTGCCCTTGCCCTTACCTTCGCCTCTCCCACCTCTCTCGCCTCTCTCGCCCTTCTCGCCGCTGCCAGACTGCAAAGACGCCGACGGCCAGCCGCAGAGCCCGCCCAGCTCGCGCAGCTTGCCCCTGGACGCAGGGCTCTCGACCGCCGCAAAGCTGGACGCCCTCATCCAGCGCTCCGACGAGAAGATCCTCCTGCGGCCGCGGCGGGAGAACGACCAGACCGTCCTGGCCCGCGATGTCGAGATCGAGCCCGAGCAGCTGCCTGGCTCCCTCGATCCCTCTTCCTCCTCTGCTGCTGCTGCTGCTGCTTCTGCGAGGCCTTCTTCGTCCTGGGTGCGCCGCCTGTCCACCATCACCTCCTCCGTCTACGGCTCCAGCTCCGCCGCCAGCTCCTCGCGGCCCCAGTCGCCCTCCGTCAGCGGCTCGACCGCCCCCTTCTTCCCCCAGAAGCAGCATCTCCAGAACCGCGCCTCCATCCCGCCAAACAAGCTCGTCAAGCGCTCAACCTCCCAGCGCGACTTTCTTCCAGACTGCCCGGGCGGCTACGGCTACGGCTACGGCCACGGCTACGACCCTGCCTCCTCCGCCTCGAGGCCGCGCCGCTCAAACTCCATCATCCGCCGTCCGGCTACCAGCCACCAGCGCAGCGCCGCCGCGGCCATGAGGCACCGCTCTGCTACCGAGTCCAATGTCCTGGACGCCGACCTGATACGGCCTCACACTCTGTCTTCCCCCCTGGCGTCTCCTCCTCCCCCGTCCCAGTCCCAGTCCCAGTCCCAGTCCCAGCCACAACCACAACCCCACGGGGAACCCGTTTGGCGCCCTTACTTTCGTGGAATTGCCTCCAATTTCTCCTCTATCCGCACTCGACGGCGGTCTTCCTCGGTCAGACAGAGACGGGAGCGCTCGCAGCAGCAGCTCCACCTCCTGCTCGAGCCTGATGTCGTGCCCACCCTCGTCTCGGCCGCTGCCATCAAACCCCAGGATCCCGCCCAACCCCCTCGCTTTAGCTCTAGTTTCCGGTCGTCAGACCAGCAGCGACAACAGCTACACCAGCGCCAACAATCTTCGGACCGCATTTCCTGGGGCAGACCCGTTCCTGGAGGAGCGCGGGCTCAAGTCTCCCGTATGTTGAGCTCAAAGAAAGAGGAGGACTCGGAAACAGAGGCGGAAGCGGAAGTTGATGCAGATGCAGATGCAGATGCAGACGCAGACGCAGACGCCGCTCGATTACTGTCATCGTCGGCACCCCTGCCCCCGTTTGCGGCAGACGACCCTACTCAGCCCTGGGAAGAGTCGATAGCTAAGCTGCAGCGGAGACAGCGTGCCTCCCTCGAGCTGAAACGCAACCCTCATTCAGACAGTGAAATCCGGACCAGCAAGAGTGAACGACTGAGCGGGAACTCCATGCGATCGCGGCGGAGGAAGAACATCACTGACCCAGACATATTCCAGCGGCCGGCCACTTCCCATTATCAACAACACCAACAACAACAGCAGCAGCAGCAGCAGCAGCAGCATCTACATCTACGCAATAACCATCACGATCCTGACGATCACTTCAATAATAACGACGATGATAACATTCCCATCGACCAATCAGAAGACCCTCTAGAGCCCGTATCCCCCAAGACGACGGTCGCAAAGGTTAAGCCTCGTCTACGGCATTTGCCACAGTTCCACGACCTTCGCAATGAGGTCCTAAACGAGAGACGGTCCGCGCCATCCTCGGCCTCTGGCTCCAGACAGTCATCTGCCGAACAGAAGATCTACGGCAGCACACGAGACCGAGACCAGCGGCTCTCTGTCACTGCCTCTGACCCAGCTTCAACTGTTCCCGGCTCAGATAATGATACCCGTATCTTCTCGTCCGGAGAGGAAGACGAGACTGACTGCCACAGTGACACCATCTTTGACTCCTACCCTACACGCGCAACAAGTAGCAACAAGTCTACATCTACTCCCCGCGGGCCCAGGATAGATACCATCTTCGACAAACCAGACGTCACTCCAAAACAACAGCAGCAGCAGCAGCAGCAGCAGCAGCAACAGTGCTATCCAGATGAACTACACTTGTCCTCCTCGGTTGTCTCGTCGGTTCGCAAGAGGTCGGACCTAGTCGTACTCAACCCCCTTGGTCACGGCAACGGCAGCCTAAGACACGCCTCATCTTCAGAGGCTGCCGTCCGTAGAATGTCGCCATCTCCAAAGACCGTCATCACCGGTCCATCACAGCGAACTAGCCGGAAGTCCAACTACCTTGCCACTCCCTCAGCTGACAGCGCAGAGAAACTGCGCTTCTTCGCTGAAACGTCGGGCGATGAGGAAGATGACGACGATGATTTCCCCACGGCGCTTAACTCGCCTCCCCACTCCAGATCAGCCATCACGCTGTCAAAGGCATCGGAAGCGGGCTCGCGCATGAGCGTGTTTGACTGGTCAGAGCAGCAGAAGCCCACCAAGGACGGCGACAGCTCTGGTTATCGTCCAAAGACCGCTCAAGAGAAGAATCTGGTCGATCTACGGGGAGGACGGTCAACAGCGCGCAGCGCTCCCAACACTCTTCATCTCAGAAGCCAGAGTGTACCAATCGCAACAAAGGAGTCAACGGCGCAAAAGGACACCGGCTTCCCTCTCAAGTTCGGCACCTGGGGCCTGGGTAACAAGGGTCCCAGCGAAGACTGGGATGGTGACTTTGATTTCGAGGACTCGGATGACCAGCCACTCCCAGGCTCCCTGGCTAACGGTAAATGCTCTGCCAGCAGCATGAAGGTTCCCCAGGCTATATTGGACCGACAAGAGAGTGTACATGGCCAATACGGCCTGGTCCAGGAACTCACCGTCCTTGTCGAGGAACTAAAGCGACTCCAGGTCCAGGCTAAAGCACTGCATATCATGGAAGGCCCATCTGCAGAATTATGGAAAGAGGCCCAGGGTATAATAAACCTTGCAACTCTTGAGGAAGACGATGACCAACCACGTTCAAATGGATGCAGCAGGCATCAGCGCCAAAGATCCTCCTCAGCCACAACATTCGACTCGGGCAATTTTGGTCTGGAATCTTCCCCCGAGCCCATGCCCATGGCCACCAAGCAGAACAGCAACGAAAGCCCAAGCAAGCAGTCCTCTCCTCTTCCCGGGAAAGAAAACTCAGGTCCAGGCACCAATATCAACGCCACTTTCCCTTCTTCCAAAAAGCTGCGCAGAGAATCCTCCGCCAGAGCAAGGTCGGTCCTGGATAACATCCACCATCTCCGAGAGCTTCACAACGGCAACTCAACCGCCTCTCTACCAACCCATGATAGCCAACAACGCTTCGCCTTTGATACCCAGTCTTTGCGCGACCTCGTCATCCGTGCGGGAGTCATTACACGCTCTCTAAAGGAGATCGTCCGCAAAGCAGAAGGAGTCTACGTCCCACCTGATACACACCATCTAACTCCCGACCCGCCTTTCAGCCAAATATTCGTCCATCCTTCCTCGCAACCTATACCTGCAAATGGACTCTCCTGAACAATACCACGCCCAAAACACTCCAATTAAGTCCAGAAGGGACATGGGAGAAAATCAAATACCCCTCCGACCTAGAATTATATCCTCAATTCTTTTTCCTCTCCCCCCTCTCATCTACTACACCTTGTCTCTTTCTTTCTCGCTCCATTCCGCCTGAAGAGGTACTCTAATGACCCGTTATGGCTCATGTGTCATGTGCACGCTAAAAGAAAGATAATAACACCCCCGGCTTCACGGCCTTTTTCCTTCGCATCGACTAATTCTTTCTCTCTGTCCATGCCTCTCCTTTTATTCTACTGTTCTTACTTCCTTCTTACCCAAAAGCTGCCATTCCTTTACTGTACAATCCAAAAAATCTTTTCCCCTTTTTTCTTCCTTTTCCTCGTCTCATCTGCATATTTATTTCTTTTCCTCTTTTTCTTTTCCTCTTTGATTTCTTTTCTTGCTCTGCTTTTTAGCCGGTAATGACTGAGTCGTGGGTTTCTCCTTTTTCTTCTGCTTTCCCCTTTTCATGTAGGAAGTAATGTCCTGCTTCCCCCTTTTTTCTACCTCTGTTGTTTCTTTGATCATTCGGGAAGGCTTATGTGATAACGTTTGCTTGCTTGCGTTTTTGCTGGCTTGGATGGACCCTATAGACGCTTCATCACCGTTTGGTATGAATTTCGCTAAATAGCTGTACACGAACAAACCAGAGAATTATAAATGGAATGAGTGAACATGCCCTTGAACGATTTCTGTCTTATCCAGTCAATCAAGTAAGGAGTAAATGTAAGTATAAATACAGAGGGGTTTTTCGCTGGGAATAAGTCTATCAAATGCAAGATATAAATAGAGAGGTGCGTATACAGAGACGAGAATATTAAAATCGAGTAGGGATAGTTATATGGTAGCCTGGAATCAGTTCTTGGATTTCCGTTTACCGATATTCCAGCCCCAGCGTCGCAGAGTCTTGACGATCTTGGGCGTCACAGCCGCCGTAAGTGGCACCCTGAAGAAAATGAAGCTTTTGTGTATGGCGTATGCAAGTGCCAGTTGTGTCCATATACCTATACAACAAGCAGATTAGTAGCCGATCGTCATAATTGCCCAACAAAACCAACAACCAGATAGAATAACGTACTGGCTTCTCCTTTAACGGCTTTTTGCGCCTCTTCGATATCATCCGCAATGCCTATCTCATTCTCGTCTTCGGATCGAGAGCGCGCATCCCTCTCTTTGCCAGGCCATATCTTCGCTATTGCATCCTTCACGGATCCCACAATAATATGCTCGTAGTGTCCTATGCGGTCAACGCCTAGCAGCCGCACAGCAGCAAAGCAGAACGGAAAATCCAACGCTGATAGGAAGAAGTAGACTCCTACGGCTGCCCAGCCGTATTCGCGGGAAAGCGTGCGCATGCGCTGGGAAAACGAGGGTTTTGCAGACGGGTCTGTGTTTGTAGAGTTCGCGCGAGTAAATTGTCGGCGCGTATATGGTCTCCTTGAGAACTGAGGGCGGATATATCTAAGGGGGGATATTGTTGATATTGTCGACTGCTGGTGTCGCTGTAGCATGCGCGAGCTTTGGCGGAGGCCTATCCATGCCGGCGACGGTCGGGATAGTTGTGGTGATCTGAAGGCTGTCGAAAGCAGCTGTCTAGCCGGCCCTCCGGCCAACCCGCGCGACGATATCATCTTTTGTTTAATTAGCTATGGGTTTGCTGCGTCCAAGGCATCTGTTCCTCCAGTCTGTTTGCTCGAGATATCAAAAAAAAGTCAAGGAGGAAGTTTTGTCTTGGCATTAAGCTCGGGAGGAAAAAGCTTGGCGCGAAGCCTAACTAAATGTCGAATTTCGTTTTTTGATCGTTGATTGAAACTAATTTTTTGGATAGCGACGAAAAGCGCCAGCACCGTCGAGTTGATCGAGGAGACTTGAGAAGGATATCGAAGACAAGATGCCGCCGCGGCTACCTCGAAGCTCCCTGCAGCAATTGTTTGCGCCCGTCACATCCTCACAGCTATGCAGCAGTCCGTCCAGAATCGCCGTGACCACAGCCATACGGTCCTTTGGCATCAAACCTATGTATCCCCCCAAAGCCAGCCTTAAACCTCTCGATCCAGACGTGCCGATTCTCTCATCACATCCTATTGCAGCTCATCTGCGCAAAGCTGCCACCCTCCCTCTTCGAACAGGCGCCCTCGCTATCAAGAAAGGAATGACGGCCATCTACGATCCCGAGACGGGCGTGCGGACTCCCTGTACTGTTCTCCAATTAGATGGCGCCCAGGTCATTTCACACAAGACGTTTGAGAAGAACGGATACTGTGCTGTCCAGGTCGGGTCTGGGCTTAAGAGTGAGAGAAATGTGACAAGACCGATGCTGGGTCATTTCAGTGCAAACGGTGTCTCGCCAAAACGACATATACATGAATTCCGAGTCAAGGATGAGACTGGACTATTACCAATTGGAGAAGTTATTAATGCCGATTGGTTCCAAGAGGGTCAATATGTTGATGTTCGGTCAAACAGCCGTGGAATGGGATTTGCCGGTGCTATGAAGAAATGGGGTTTCCACGGTCAGGATAGAAGTCATGGTGTCAGTTTGACGCATCGTTCTCTAGGTTCTACAGCTCCTTCTCAAGGAGGTGGTTCCAGAGTATACCCTGGGAAGAAGATGCCTGGACGGATGGGAAACCATCAGGTAACACTGCAAAGCTTGAAGGTGTTGAAGGTTGACGCTGAGAAGGGCATTGTTGTTGTTAAGGGTGAGCTTAGTCTATTCACTTTTTATATCATTTTTATAGGGCAATTTGTGCGCTAAATGTGTGACTTAACAGGGGGTGTTGCTGGTCCCAAGGGACGCTGCGTCAAGATCCAAGACGCAATCAAGAAGCCATGGCCGAAAATCGAGGCTGCACAGCCTGCAGCAGCTAAGGAATGAGCGTTATATTGTTTCATGAAATTCTTCTTTATCTACTGTACAATAGCCCTTCAGAGTGGCGTTTAACCGTGTATTTTTTAACCCATCTTCCAAATCTCAGGGATATGCATGAATGTAACTTGGATTGTCGAGGCGTTTAGCTTGCCTTTTCCCTTCTTTTTTGCTTCAAGTAATAACATCCTGCATTTTAAAGTGAACAATTATAATGGAGCAGCCTCCACTATCCCATGCTTTCCAAACGCCATGCCAAGTTATAAGTTATACAACCCGTAGGGTAAAAAGAGGTGAGGTGAGGTATATGCCCTCAGTCCGGGATTAACGCAATCGATCTTTATATTGCGCCCTTAAATGGATCTTCTTCGGTCTGGTTGAGTAGCGGCACAGCTGTGCCATCTTCCATCTCAAGACTCCATATTTCGGTGTTGAACTGTATAGGTTTCATGTTAGTATGGTCATGTTCACAGTCAAAGTATACAACCCATAAAAAACAGGTGACGGATAACCCGTACGTAGCCTAATCTGCTCTCTCTCGTGCTCTTGAATCGCATCTTTCCCTTGCCGCGAGTTCCCTTGACCCAGAATGAAATGTCGATACGGCCATGAAGCTGGTTCATCTCTCCGCTTATCCACGGTATCTGCTGTGCAAAATATATCTCGTCTCCAAGGAGCTCCCGGGCCTTGGGAGAGTGTCGCAGAGCGTACAGAGTACTGCTAACGATACTGGATGAAGACTTCTGGTAATTGAATATCGCGAGACTTGACACGCCAATTATCGCAAGAAATATTGGTATAGTGCGCAGCCACCGTCTGTGTGAGCCAAGTGAGGGGAGCTCTCGGTCAGCTCGTCGTGAGAGCAAGGGACCACTGTTTGGCTGAGGGGGTGCAACGAGGGTACGGCGTGCGGGTGTCGACGAGCGCAGAGAAACATTGGGCTTCAACATGGGCCGGTGGCACCGCAGGCTCCGTATGGGATTCATGGCTGTCGCTCACCGTCGGCTGGTGACTTGCTTGACTCGATCTTTGTTTAGTCGTTGCGACCTCAACTTTCTTCGTTCAGGACGTGAAAGGTGAATGTTGATTATGTAAATACAATCATGTGATTTTATATTGATATATTAGTCAGCATTATAAGTAACGTGAGGGCCGGAGTTAGGTCGGCGATATGGGGCCTTAACTAGGCCAGGTCACATGAAGTTGACTTGCAGATCCCAAGTTGGGTATATTTGACTTTGAAAACACGGACATATTGATAGAAAGGAACTGCCAGTTGACGAAGGAGGAGTTGGTTATGGATCATGGCATCTACACGGCTACGGAAGACATTCAAGTATCCAGACTCAGACGGTGACGACGATACACGTCCAGAACTAGACGACCAAGGTTCGTGGCATGTAGTTCTTGCAGCCTAACTATATAGCCAGTTACTTACAAATGCATAGAACAAGAGGCTTTGATTGAATCCTTGCGTAAGGATAATGAGACGGCAAATGCATTTTATCAGGTGTTTTATAAGTATCCAAATCTATCCCTACCGATAACTAGGAGCTAACGAGGTTCTATAGCTTGTATTGGCTGTGATACCCTGCATAGCCAGCTGTATCTTCATACCCACAATATTATCGTTCAATTCTGTCTTCTATGACAGGGCTTCGGCATTTCTTGGTGCCGCCTCACTTCTGTGGACTGCCTATTATATGAAATATACGCCGCTGCCGCAAAGTGAATCTAGGGGAAGGCACTCTATCAGCCTGTCAGAGGAGAAGGAAGACCCTATTAGCCGATACACAGTAATAGTGAATGCTGTCATTTCTCTCTTCATGGCACTCTCCGGGTTTCTACGCTTTCAGAAGGACCAAGGCAATGCATACCATATTCTATATGTCCTGCCAGCCGGTAATACCTTTCTACTTACGTATCGTTTTTTTTATCGGTCGCTAACTCTCATACGATAGTCGTACTCTTCACTATCGTGGCAGCTCGGAGAACTATGGTTTCAGTCGATCTAAACGAATTAGAGCGCCTTCGTTACGAATATAAAGGAGCGTAAATAATCTTTAAAGTAAAAGATACACCTTGCATACGTTCTAACGTACACTTGGATAATGGAAGGCTATAGTCGAAACATAGGTAGTCTGTTCTAATATCGTGTTCAAATCTACTTGAGCAGGAGCAATCCCCGATAGAATTACGCCGACTTGATAATTAAAATTAAGGCTCCTGTAATCAATTATCTGTAATTTTGCATTGCTTGACTGTAAGATATCGAATACACGTTAACACTAGGTCCATCCATCGCTATCGTCATCCTCTACCCAACCCATTGCCTGTAATTTGGCGGTTTTGTTTTTTGCAGCCTGTTTAGCAGTGCCATTCACCTCTGACGTTGGTCCCAGCGGAGACTTGTTTTGCAATTGTGCGGTAGGGATTGATTCACCTGTCACTTTGGTTTCAACTGCCTCGCTAGCGTTCTTAGCGGTTTTGGACTTTGAAGCTTTGGTTGCCGCCGACTTTTTAACAGTCTTCTTAGCAGGCCTCGAAGTTCGAGGGCGTAACATAGCCTGCGAAGTTTGCTCTTCCGCCCTATCTTCGCCTTCACTTTGGTCACTGCCAGATCCACCAAGATCATCCGACTGTATAGGATTCAGCTGACTTCGTCTTGTTGCAACCTTCCTAGCTCCAGAAGTGTTGATACGAGAGATTGACCGTCGAGAAAGAGTAAAATCATCGTCGATTTCAATTCCCCGTTTTCGCCTACTACCAGCACCATCATCTAGGCTTGGGTCTACAGGTAGATCTTCAGGTTCATCTTCATCCGGTTCGCCTCCATTAACTTCCTCTGGAGCCTGTCCGTTAGTCTGGAAGAGATTTGGGTCCACAACAATTTCTTCAGCTTTATTCTGTTCCGCTGGTTGTTCTGGCTCTGGGTATTCAAATGTAATGCCCTCCGTAGGCTGGTAACGGTCAGCCACCTCGTCTCGGAAAATAGCATTTTGTGGGACAACAAAACTCGTTTGATGACCCCGGTCCATAAGGGCGGGATCTATGAGACTCTCGTCAAAGTTGGAGTTATTATTTTGTTCCTCCGCCCCTCTTATCTCACTGCCGTCAGAGTCGTGATTATATAGAACAGGCTCATCCAATTTAGCCTTTTCTGCTTCTTCTATTCTCAACTGCATTCTTCGGCTATTCTGTGATGTTTCGGGATGCTCGCCTGATTTCTTAAGCCAAAACAGGTTTGAATGACTAAAATCCACCAGAGACTCTACACTTCTGACATCAGCAATCTTTTTGGTATCATGACCGATTCGGGTCTCGGTTGGTATATATCCTTCAATTGTTGGGTCGCGGCGCTTGCAATTCGCACATGGACATATCCTTTCACACCTTGGGCATTTCCAACTCCGTACCTCCAGTACTGTCATTGGCATGATATCAAATGCTCTGTATAAACTGCCGTAACACCATTGCAAATTGCATTGAGAACATGTCTCGAGCTTCCAATTTAATGTCGGCCCACAGATGTGACATCGACTATATTTATGTTTGTCGGCTTTGGTTATTTTTCGACGCTTTCGAGTAGATTCCCTATGGTTCTCATCATCGTCGTCAACATCATCTTTGACAGGCTTTGTGATGTCGGTCCACGGCCGGCGTTTTAATTCCACCTGGCATATTTCTGCCAGCGTCTTCTTTTCATATTTCTCTTGCTCAACTGAGAGGGGTTGGAAATTATCCTTATCCTTACGACTTTTTCCTGAGGAAAACTTGGCAATCTGGTTTCTCCAGCGTTCATGATCCCGGGTGAGGTCTTTCCAACGAAACTGTTCCACCCACCTCAGCTTAGAGATGCAAGCGCAACTTCGACCCATCACAAAGCAGTCCATGCAAACGTCATAGGTGTCATCTTCCCCATCTGGGAATTTACCAATGCACGAGGGGCAGGTAAGAAACCTGTTGAAGATATTGCATCGACAATATGAACATGTGATATTGCTTGAGAAGGGAACCAACTCAACGTTTTTGGGCTCCGGTATTCGAGTAGAAAAGCTCTCAGATAGAAGGATCTGTGTGAATGACGCAAACAAGCGTTTGAAATCGGACTTTAGGCTGCGATATCGTAAATCGTCACGTGTAGTTGACTTTTCAAGGAGACTCGAATATTTCTTGAGGGAGAAGTAAATAATGGCTTTATTCTTGTACTGTTCGTCTCTGCAGACCATTCTGGCCCGGGGTAGCGCTTCAGTCAAAGCAAGATCAAGCGTTTCAGCAGTCGTCCTGTTCCATGCAACTTTCATCGTGCGAGTACCCCTATTCCACACCTGATGAGGAGCAAGAGGAGGGATTAGAATGAAGTCGCCAACTTTCTGTTCCACAACCCAGGTTTTAAATGGCGCAGACTTCCAGGCATTTATTTGCGCAAAGTGGTCCTCAATTTCGATATCATGTCCTAATGTCGATAGCCAATACTCTGAAACAACCTTAAGATCTTTCTTTTCAGTCATGAACCAGATGGAAGATCCAGGTTTTGTCGGTTTTCCGTCTTCCAATCCCCCGGTCGAAGCTTCGACCATGATATTATGCCCAAGAGTAGCACACATCTCTCTATGAGCTGGAGTGTAGGTGCCCTCATGACCAATATAGCACATCATGTTCATTGCCCTCATTTCTTCGGGAAGGCTGCTCATCAGGTCACCAGCAGGAGCCGCGTCTCCCTCTTTACCTGTCACAGACTCATTCATATAATAAAGAAACTGCGGAAGAAGCGATCGTAGTTTCTCATGCCAGACTGGAGGGCAATCGATATCCTTTAAATACATGCGCTGACGACTAGAGTCCTTGTAGTTTGTGGCGTTGAACTGGTCAGTGAGACCAGCCATACTAGAAAGGTAGTGCTGTATAGTTAGCGGTACATTTGACTTGTTCGTGAGATCCCTTGCGATTTCGACTAATAAGATGTTAGATTTGCGCATTAACTGTCATGATATATCTCATATTAGGGAGTAACATGCCTTTGCTTCCATGGTTATCTTTGAGCCAGCGTGGGGAAAAAATCCACTTCTCCAGCTTACTTCCATAACCCTCTACAACTAGAGGCTTTCCTGAGTAGATAACATGCAGTTTCACCAGCTTCTCGAAATTCTCGATCCCTTGTTCCTCAATCGCGTGGGCAGGTATTCGCGTTACTGGCTCGAAATTAGGCGTCGACTCGACCAATTCTGTAAAATCGAGATCCGGTGAGATGGGCTCAAAGGCCGCACGTGGTAGCTGTAGCCCAGGCATGGCTCTGGGCCGAAGAGGTCGCGCCGCAACAGCTGTTCACCCACTTGTGGTCGTTTTCATTAAACAACTTAAGAGATTGAAAGCTCATCTGGTTAACAAAGGTGGTAGAAATCAAGTCTGTCACGTGATAGCTAGCTAGTTAGTAGGAGCTCTTTATCCCGGCTCATCGGCGCGAAAACACCGTGAAGAGCTAAAGACAGCTCCAGGTTCGCGACGAAAGAAGCTGGGGGTCTACAACTGGGCGCGGTAAAGTCGAGCGTTTGGACGGATTCGGTGCTACCTCTTTTATCAATATGTTATCTAATAACTGCGGCTACCTTAGAGCCGGGCTGACCGTCTCCAGCCATATCTTCACCAGCTGCCGTGCGCCGCACAATAGGAGAATACCGAGCATATTGAAGTTTCGACGAATAAGCCGGATACCGCAGATTTACAAGCCCTTTTTACGATATAATTCCTCTGCTCCCAGTATAGCTGCCAGTCAAAAGCCAGAGCAATATTCACCACCGACAACGGGAATTCTCGCTGCTCTTCCAAAGAAATGGGTACCATATGCAGAATTGATACGACTAGACAAACCCACTGGCACTTACTATCTATACTTCCCTTGCCTCTTTTCAACCCTCCTTGCAGCACCTTTGGCTGTGCCAATGGCTACTCC